AGGTCACTTTGTTCTTCACGAAGTGTGCACCGGAACTGTCGTTTGCACAAGCGATGCGATCGAGGTAGTGGGCGCGGTGTCGCCAAGTTGCAGGTAAGCCGCAGTTGAGTGAGGGAATTAGCATTATCACACACTGGACGTTTATCTTCCCTTGGTTTGTTAGGTCCCTCTACCCTTGGTGCAAATGTCGTTCAATACCGTTATCAGCTCCAGCCGCATATTGATAATCAGTGATGGCAACACCAGGCTGGAAGATTGATTGCATCATAGAAGTATTGCTGTCATTCTATTATCTGATAAACATCTATCCCAGTATCTGAAATTAGCGTTCATTCAGCTGACAACGATCGCTACTGTACCTCGTGCCCGCTTAAGACACCAATCCTCTCTTTGCATATGTTATATCTGTAACCTGAAAGATTGACTTGCTTCTCAGGAAGCATCGCGTAAACTGGCCAAAAGTTTAGCTGTACAAGTAAATTGGAGTGCATATTTGGTTGCAAAACAACAACGGCTCCGTCTGCATCTCTTGCAGTTTTATTCCTTTGGGTTTCATACCGAGTTTTGATTGACCGCATTAATAGAAGGGCAGTGTACTGCAACCGCACAGCTAACCCCTCAGTAGACTCCATGACCAAATTTTTGTAAGCGACCACAGTGAAGGCAAATCTGGAAAGAAATGTTACTGATTATAACCAGAAAACGGGTTCGTTTCCTTAATGTATTTAAAAGTTGCGCAAGTGGGTTCGAGTCCTGCTGTGATCCATAACTTACTCACGTCCCTTATCTATAATCGTTTATCGCTGTCATTAAGGCTCAGCTTAACACCACTCCTCCGTGTGAACTGAGCACACTTTAATGACTTTTAACCACAACGAAACAATCATGCGTTGGTCCCGAGTAACTCTGAGCCCCTAATTAGATATACCCAGGACACAATGACGTAATGTAGCAATTCACAACAACACTGGTTTTTAGACTGACGAACATAAACGCCAATTCCCAACTCAGTGAGCTTTTCTGGCGGTCTGTGACGATCAGTACAAAGGACGGTTAAACATACTTTGCTGATATACCCAGGTGCGGAGTCACAAATTCCATTGTAACCCCAAACCCAATAATTGACAACGTAGATAATCAAACCTGCTGGCTGATTAAAGCAACCACTGCTGTGGGCCACATCCTTTGCAACACTTTTCAACACTTGTTTCCAATGGTAGAAACTTGTCTCAACTCTGCGGACAACCAAGGTAAATAGTACCAAGTGTGATCAAATGCTAAGTAGATAGGGCGCGCTCAGGCGACTGCAATCGTTGTTCCCAAAGCAGGTTTGCCAAATTTCCCTGACGCAATTATGATTAAAGCTGAAGTGCTGGTTGGTAACACAATTCAGATTGAATCCATCTCACGTAGGTACAAATGCGCAACCGTCGTCACCCAGAAACGCGACGTACTTCCTGTTCGCCTATTCGGTGTGCGTGAGCCGTTCACGAGGCCCCTCTCTCAGTCCAGCAGGTGGCCGGGAACAATGGCTCGATCAACAAAATTACCAGTGGCCGGGGTGATAAAATGAATAGTTGTGATGTAATGTACTCGAATCATCTTCACTATGCGGAGCAATGACTTCCCAAACATTGAAGCGAAAGAATACGTGGCGGTGGGAAACGGACCGTTAGAGGCATGTTACCATAGAAGTAACGGCGACGTTTAAATGGTCTAGATGAATTCTCCACAACTAAATTCGGATGAACAGGTATTCAATGCTTACTGCGTCACCCAAAAATAAACTATTGTCATAAAGGGGAAGTGGATTCTCTTAGCGAACTGTTAAGCCGCCGACGGTTTTGCGCCACAACCTTTGGCATATTCGTCAGCAGTCTTGACTTACTGGAAACCACTTTAAATACCCTGAACATGTGCGTTGCATGCTGTTTATATCGCTTAATTAACGCTGTTAAGTGCCCTGCTTGAAAATTATGACCACTCTTCCCTCAATAAGTGAGAGTGAAGGCTTTTGACAATTGACACCAAAGTTCAGATTTCTGATGTCCGGGCTTATCTCTTTTAGTGTTCTGTCTATGCTGGGATCTGGATAGATGGTCTACAGCGAACAATAAAGAGAACTTTTCCGGTTGCCTAATGAATTATTACTGGAGGATAGGTGAATATTGGGCGTTGCCTTTTTGCAAAACTACACACTATGAATCCGTTCGTCTTCATTAGCCATCATCAGATGGAAATAGCAGTGATGCGACTCTAACTCGGAGCTTATGGGATGTCATCCGGATACACAATTCTCAAAGTCACCTCTCCGGTAGTTAATGACTTCAAGTGCGCTACCTCATTCGTGCTGCTCTTTGGACTGTGATTCCATATGAAGATCAGCAAATGCTGTCAATTACATGGCGTTACATAATAGTTCATGTAAATCCCACCACGCCATTGGCTTATACCTCTAGACGTTTCAACCACAACATCACTTTCAGGGATAACCTCATTCCTGCCACCACATGACTGGAATTATCTGCGGAGACAAATAAATGCTTTTCAGTTACCTCGCGTTATACTGACGTACGCAAATACTGACCTCCTCGATGGGTTCTATCTTCAAACGCTCTTACCGCGATATTCAATCACAAGGTTACCGTATTCCTACTATTCAGTAGTCCGAAAATTTTACTCATTTCGTACAATCTTGTCAAGTGTTCCCGATTAATATCGAAAATTCCGTTGATTAATGCACCAAAGAACTCTAGTTTTTTCTCTCCGGAGTGTGCAAACAATCCGTCAGCGGTATGCGTAATTCTGGGTACTGGAGTGAGTGTGATTAGCAAGGGATGGCTTTTACATGTTCTCATTTCGTACCGATCCCGAAGATGCGAAGGAAATGTAACCCTCCTATAATGATCAACATTTGGCAGCGTATCGCGCATCCAGGATACAAAGAATGGGTTCGATTCGACAAACGCATTCAACAAAACTATTTTCGCGACACTGAGTCATCTCACACAAGTTCTAGCGCAACTTCTCATTCTCAAGTAAATTCGTTCCATATCCGTGCGAGGAACGTTAACTGACAGATGCAGTCACTCGGGAATTCGCACTCCTCATAGCAACCAAGTAATGACCAACTATCCTCATCCATATTGCTATCTGCTTTAGCCATACAACACTACCGTCGCTACCCAACTCAAACGTGGCAACATAGAACCTGTATGGAACAGATGCTGCAAAGGTGGTTTCCAGTTTTCGTGCTCAATTCTACATGCTATCACTTAGTTCTCTAACCTTAATTGGTAACTGGTCTCTTCTTCATACATAATTCAACATTTTACTACCTTGACACTCATCAAAGAGTTTAACCCTGATGCCTCATCTGGAGGCGTGTATTGAGTGACAGCTATCTGCCGACACTTGGTTGGGTTTGGTCTAGATAGAACTGTATTATTGGCACCAAGGGTGAACAAGGGGTTTCGGCGTGTATAGTTCTCGCTATTGGATACCCACAAATGGAATGAAGCAACGGTTCAATAAGTAATGAACTACGACTGCAACACACCCAGACAAGAATTTGGTCTGATGTCTTATATGAGCCCTATGGCCAGGATGAACTTCGAAAGCAAATTTAACTACTGACAGTGGTGTGCACTTTGGGATGGCCAGCATCACGGGAACTGGCGAGCCACCTTTACTGCTTGACTGCCTTGTTAGGGTATTATTAGAAGGTATGGCTGCATGCAGTATGAGCCCCTAATTTTACTACTCTCTTTGCATATCCTGAGATGCTAGTGCGGTGATTACTTTACTCCAAGGTGATGTTTATGTTTATTACGTCGCAGCAGTATTTCCCCATTTACCCATATACTGGTCTCATTTCTGCTGCTTTTGTACCGGCCCTCGAGTAGGTGGATAGAGTTGCTAGCGGCACATTATACAACAATTAAATAACTTATGTTGCCACTAGGGTTTTAGCTACGTGGATCAAATCAGTAGGATTATTCGCAGATTATGTCTGCCCCCATAACATGTACAGCATAGAAGCGCGAGACAAAATGTGCTCAGTTTTCTTGCGTTTAAATGCAGTTGAAGAGCTCACAGTTATTTTGCCGTGGGTATTCATGGCAAGTTTTGCTAAATTGAACACCACAGTCCTAGGTCAATATTCTCAAGAATCTCAGCAAGCCTTTGGGTTGGACCACGGGATCAGTCTCGCAGCTCTAAAATTACCCTCGGTTTCTGGATAATTCTGCCGGAGACACCTAATCGTAGCACATAATATCTATTCGACAATCAGCGTCGAACCGGTATATCTGAGCGATAACCGAACTACTCAGCTGAGAGGTGAATAACGTACACCCAATCTCTTGTCCGGAGTAATGAACCAGAAAGCAGTGCTGCGCGAAACAGACGCGGTGCATAAGGGGTTAATTAACCGAAAGTATGAAAAATTTAGACCGAAAGCACAGTGATTCTTGTTCCACGAAAGTAGTCTCTACATATTTTGACTACGGAGATGATGGGGTCGATTTGAGTAATTTTAAGTGAGATCATAGAAAATGTACGGTTTAAATGGTAGACTCGAGTCTAGGGACAGAAGCAGTTGCACGGTAGGTGCCGAAACGTAATCATAAATATATCTGGTGATTTTTTGCTCCAGTATAGGGGAAAACACATCCAAATTTGGTGAGCTGTTGGTATTGCTTCACATACATGATGTTCATCGAGTGTATGAGTTAAGCATAATCCAATAGTAATATCTATAGGCGGAAATCGGACACAACATCCGTGATATTCCGTCAGATGATGTTTGACTACATATGGCATCGTAGCACCTAAATAGTGACGTAAGAGCCTCTGTTTGTCCATGGCCTGTCTGCAGACCAGGTGAAATCGCAGGGTCTGCAGTACATGGATATCGCACGCAGATGGAGAATACGTACAGCTTCATTTTATGGTTACGTTTTTAAACCTGGTTACCAAAATGCCGAACTAGAACTACTCTAATTCCATGGAAATAGGTACCAACAGATAAGTGTCATAAACACCGGTGCTGATTGGTGGGACAAAAAGGTAACAGCAGCCGCACACAGTAAACTTACGATGTATAGATTTTTTATCTCCCTGTTCAGTATCGTTCTGGTTCGGATGGCAAACTGCCGGTAACGAGACACTATTCCGTGTGGCTCCACAGCGGACTCGTACATGAAGTTCTCACGATGCACTGATTGGAAACCTGACCCTCTAACCTCTTCCAGAGTAAATGTATCCGCTTCTTGTACCAGTTGACAACGTAGTTGAGCCAAAGGCGAGTCACCATCAGTCACATGCATGAGAGCAACAAGCGATCGAGCTGGCGTCTCAACCTCTGGCAATGAAATGCGACCATCCGAAAGGCGTTTTCCTCTACTGAAAAAGGCAATGCTTGGTGCATTGTCATTTACATTTATTATTTGAATCTGTACTTCCGCTGTGGAAGATAGAGCTTGTTGGCCAAAGTCAGTAGCGATTAGCTGGAAATGTAGAATGGCTGGAAAACGTTCCGCATCAACTTGTCCGATCAGTTGCAAGAAACCTCGAAAGTGGGATTCTTTAGGATTGTTTGACTGCTTTGTTAGACTCGCGGATGAACCATGAAAGAATGACCGCGACACTGTCTGAAGGCCAACACGAAATAATCTTTGTGCATAACCACTGTGATCATGAATACTGACTTTGATTCTTCCGCTGTTTCCAATGTCTTTGTCCACCACTTCAAACTCGAACACATTAACAGTTACCACATTTTCAACCAACTTGGCATTGTACATGTCACTGTCAAATAACGGGGCATTATCATTGACGTCTTCCAGATGAATGTCTATGTTTACTGATCCAGTAAGTGCACGATTGGGCAGATCAGGGTTAACTGTATCCTGCACGCCACCATCTACAGCGATGAGGGTGAAAGAGTAAACATCACAGTGTTCTCTGTCCAAAGGTACAACTGGGGTCAAGTAAGGTCTTGCAGATATGGCGTAGGGCATACTACTTCTTGACGAAGAGGGAAAGATACCATCTTTTGCTGACTTCCAGGATTCATTTTGCTCAACACCAAGGTTGAGATGAGTGTGATTGCCTCGAATCCAGTTTTCTATGCGATATTCCAATACACTATACTGATCGCTGTCTAGATCAAAAGCTTTTGGAAGCCATATTCGGTGCCCTACGCTTACATCTTCCCGAACTATGGCGTACGGTGAGTTAAGCGGAGAGAATCGCGGGGGGTTGTCGTTCATATCCTCCACTTCAACCAGTATGAAGAAGTCCTTGGGCAGTGCAGTAGGACTCAGTAGTATATTTACATGTAACAATTGACAACACACCCCTGGTGTGCAGCTATACTGGTTTGCGGTATGTGTTGGTGGTCCTGGGGTAGACATAAGACTAACGCTTCCGGGTAATGATTCCAGTCTGTGAGAAGCACTCTGCTGTACGCAGATGGCCTCCCTGTCCAAAGGTCCAACCAGGCGAATAACGAAGTTGTCTATCACAAATGGCCAAAATGTTTGCTGCTCGCTGGCGAAAACGGACGCATTTGTCTGTAGAGGTTCTCCGCCCTGGCGCAAGAAAACACTTCGTATGTCCAAGATCACAGTATTCATGGGGCTATTTTCCACTACTTTGATTCGCTCAAACATTTGTGGAAGTGCATTGTGAAGCAGTAGAAGAAGAATGACCGACGGGCGGGAAACGGGACGCAGGACGCAGGACGCAATCTTCTCCATAACTCGGAGGTCTAAGCGAATTGTTCCATTGTTTTCATTTCGACGTTTCTCCGGGATACTTCAGAAGCTAATATGAAACGGAAAGCAACAGGAATTAGGAGCTTAAGTTGAGCCACGGTGTGCGGCAGATATTATTTTATAGGCACATGTTTGGTCCGTAGGGCTTAAAACAATCAGCCAGAAAATCAGCCATGAAGTATAGACGATTTTGGCAAACCAGTGAAAGTGCTGTTGATATCTCGATATCTAGGCATCACATGCGGCTAACAATTCTATAACTATACATTTTGAGCAAGAATACGAACACAGTGTGATGTGAATTTAATTCGGTACCAGTCGATGTAGTACGAAGTTGTGTAACTGCTTCCTGAAGTTGGGACGTTGCAATGATGTTGCTTATTTAGTCAAATTTGCAAGTTGTTTAACAAGTCACATTTGCACCCTAAATGCAAAAATGGTAAGCGAAGAATCTACCTACGCAGGTAGGGCCTTTCTCCTTTAAAATTACGTGTTGTTGAAATTTCCGCTACTGAATCTCAGTCAAAGAGGGCTCGCAGTTGTACGCTTTTCGCGAAACTCCTACCAAATTTCACATGAAATATCACGGCAAGTACAAATAATTAGGTTTTGGGAGTACAAAATTATTTAAGGAAAATGCATTAAAAGTTTAACCTTGTGAGCTCTCAGCAGATATCAAAGCATACAGCAACGATCGGCTACGATCTCTCCATTCTTACAGGGAGCGTAATCTTGATTAACTGATGTGTTCGAACTGGCCTTATTTTTGTACCAAGAAGGGATTCCAAAGTATCATCCGGACACATGTACCCCATTGATGCTGAAGGTCTTCGAGTAAACCTTTGCCACTCTAATTTTCAATCACACGTGCTCATGTAGACCATGTCTACCAATACGACCATAAACTTAGCCGATTCAGACTAGATCTTCTATCAGATTTTGCGGCATCCATAGAGGATGAGAAATGCAGCACGGTGTCTTCCGTATCTTGACTACACAAATACTTTCGAGAGTGGCAACAACTCAGCCCTTTTCAACCAACTGTTTGCAAACGGTATGCAAGCAAATGCTTGCAGCATGATCAGAGATTACTTTATAAAGTGCATCTGCTTCACACAGCTGAGTGGAATGAACTATTCCGCACTTCGCTTCGATCATACGTTCTACAGGGAGGGATTCCATCCTCCATCACTTTTATCAATCCGTCCAGCAACTTTCTTCATCATACAATTTTACTAAATTACGATATGCCTAAGCTAGCGCACTGAAAATTATTATTCCGACCGTTGCAATATATTTTTATCTTCAAGATTTAAATGAGTCTGTGCTGCGTCTTCCTGGTTCTTTGTCATAAGCGCTTTTATGTGCTCCTGCATAACAGAATGCTTTTTCTTGCTGACAAGGTACGGGTGGTTTTAAATGCTACTACTTCACAAACGAAAATTACCAAAGTATGCGCAAGTCCTCAACCGCTGGGTATCTGAGGGTCTTTTGATCCCAAAACCTATCTTAGCCTGCGCGCTTCAGTGAACTTATTCATATTTCTTTTACGGTTACGGGTGTTCTGAAAAGGCCAAATTTGCTACCCGAGTATACCTCTTCTTTTACTGATAATATCCGACCAAAGGCGCTGGAGTTAGCTGCATTGACTTTGGTGGATCCAACCTCTGCTTGTTACACCGATGTTTCGACGAGATATGTGTTCCCACAATGTAGAAGCACGGAATCTTCAGTCTCATTCACAAAAGTTGCAATCGTGCAGATCCAGCCAACTGTCGCCCGATAACACTCCTGCCGGTGACATCTAAAGTCGTGGAGTCTTTATTGCAGAGACACTCATGAGTTGCTTGGAGGCATGCAAGTTCATGACACCAGAACAACATGGATTTCGTTGGAACCGGTCTTGCACCACAAACCTGCTGCTTACTTGCTCCAGTTGGACTGAAATTGTTGACAGTGGTGTGGGAGTTGACGCAGTCTATCTGGACTTCTCAAGGGGGTTTGACCATTTGAACCACGGCCCCCTTATTCAAAGCTTCAGAGCTGTGAAATTGGTAACTTATTTCTTTGGTGGATAGGTAACTTTCTGATTCAACGACATCTGAACGTGAGAGGTCGCAGCGCCATCTCTAACCCTATGGATGTCCAGTGCGGAGTACCAGAGGGTTCAGTACTTTGGTCTCACCTATTCCTGATTTACATAAACGATTTTGCGAGAGTAATCCCTTCAAATATTTTACTCTTCCTTCATGATCTCAAGATATTGTGAGCCATCAAAACAACTGGTGACCACGTAGCACCTTAGAATAGTCTTTATATGGTAAAGGAATGGGCGACCCAGAACCTGTTTCAATACAACACCATTGAGTGTAAGATATTAAGCAACCGCCGTCAATCCACTTGCGAGTACAGGCTGAGGGACCATGCTTCTGAGCATGCTATTACTGAATGCAATATAGGTGTGAAAGTACAAGAGCATCTTCGCTGATCGCTTCAGGTCGAAACAGAGTCAAGGAAACCTAATCAACACCTTGGCCTTTTGCGGAGACCGTTTCGGCGTTCTGACACTTCAATCTTCTCTCAGACTGTCAATTCCTACATTAAGTCCCATTCGGAATGCGTTATTCATGCCTGGCAGCCTTGGCATAAACATGATCTCACCGCACTTGAACTGCTACAACGAAAGGCGAACAAGTACCTCAAAGGTTCATCTCCCTTACTGACTGAGGTTTTAAACCCTTGGGGCTTACAATAGACAATATCGACGCCTGCGTGGCCATTTGATAATAGCATATTTCATTCTAATAATTAAAAACTATGCTTGGAGTCATCTTCTGAAGCTGAATCACAATACTCTCCAGCACCAGAAACTTGGGACAACTACGTAGCCCAACGTAACCACTGCACTCAACTGTTAAGAGAAGACAAAGCCACCTATCAGCAGAACATCGCAAAAACCTTCAGTGCTAACCATAAACTGCTGTACAAGCACGTTAATAGTCTACGAAAGGTGAGGCAAGGATTTCCTCCACTGAAGACGGCTGGTGGCCCAACAAGAACGGCTATGGAGGCTGCAAACGCGCTGCAGATGCAATACCCCCCCCCCACGTTTCAAAGGGTCTTGCCACCAAGCGATCTACCAAGCTTTGTATTCTGTTCACCAGGACTAACCCACTTAAATTTTACCGCAGAGGCTGTATTGCAAAAGCTGACTTCTCTACGAAAACACAGCTCGCCGATGTAGACACCATTCGTCCAGAGTCATTGGGAGCAGCAGCAAACCAACTGGCAGGACATTTAGCTCAGTTTTTCCAGCACTGCTTAGACCAGAACCAAGTTCCTGCCATGTGGAAGCTTGGAATAATAAGCCCGATTCACAAAGGTGGAAGCAGATCTGATCCCTCCAACTACCGCCCAGTAACCCTTCTTCCTATACTCTCCAAGATTATTGAATCCATAGTTGCCGATGCACTGGTGTGCCAGCTGGAAAACTGCAACCTCATCACTCCTGAACAGCACGGTTTCCGTCGACAGCGGTCATGTACAACTAATTTACTAATTGCACGCAGTAGTTGGACGGAGGCAACCGACGCTGGAGAAAGTGTTGATGTGATCTACCTGGATTTTTCCAAGGCTTTCGATCGTCTAGACCATCGGATACTACTATCTAAGCTCCAGCATTACGGGATCGGAGACCCTCTTTTAAGCTGGATCGCCAAATTTCTACTTCAACGGCAATTAGTGGTCAGAGTTTGGAGCTCTTTATCGGACCCCATGCAAGTGGAGTGTGGTGTGCCGCAAGGCTTGGCTCTAGGTCCACGTTTGTTTTTGATGTTTATTAATGACCTTGCACAAGTAATCGCTTCAAACTTCCTAATGTTTGCCGACGATATCAAGATCTGGCGCAGGATGCAGGCAAACACCGACCAAAATGTACTTCAGAGTGAATTAGATACAGTGTATCAATGGTCGATCCAAAACTTATTGCATTTCAACGTCAGTAAATGCAAGGTGCTTTCCATCCGACATCAAAGCAGCTACTCATACCGACTCGGAACGGATGTACTGCAACAATCAACTCTCGACCGTGACTTGGGTGTCCTGGTTCAAGGTGACTTGGGTTGCTCCAGGCAATCCGAAAAGGCCTCGAAGACCGGGAATCAACATGTTGGGCTGTTGAGGCGGGCGTTTGGACAAATAAACAGCTCCATATTTCGACAAATGCTCAGTGCGTATGTTCGCCCCCATGTAGAATACGCAATTCAAGCCTGGCATCCATGGCTGAAACACGACCTTAACGCACTGGAGCAGCCACAACGCCAGACATCTAAGAACGTAACTGGAATGCGCAATCTTTCCTACCAGGAGAGGCTGCGACGACTGGGATTGTTCAGTGGAAGCTATCGCAGGCTACGAGGCGACCTGATTATGACATACTTGATTCTGCGAGACCCACATCATGTGTGCCGCCCTTTACTGCAACTCAGCAGCAGTACAAACCTGAGGGGCCACTCATTAAAACTCGCAGAACAATACAGTCGTCTGGAGGGCCGCAGAAATTTTTTTTCTATCCGTGTCTGTCACCAGTGGAATGCTCTCTCAGAATCGGTCGTCTCTGCACCGACACTAACAGTATTTAAAAGACGGTTGCATGATGCACTCATCAACTTACACTTTGTTACTTAACACTACGTCTCCATTCTGCACCTGGGCTTTACCATGGAATTACTTGTTGTTACCTGTGGGTGTTGAGAATCTAAGAGGATCGCAGGACTGCAGCGAAGCTAACGATAAGTCCTCATTTTCATATTTAAAGTATTAACTGTTTTACTATCCTTATCATCATTATTGTTAGGTTGATATCCCCTGCAACTATCCAACGGGACTTGTAAAGCAACGCTTCTTAACCCGTATAAATTCATTGTTCATTGTTCCTCTACCGAACGCGTAAGTGGCGGTAGTGTTGTGAATTTCGACACAAC